AGGAATTTTGCCGGATTTGCCATCAAGAGATGAATTGTCAACATGTTCTTCTTCCTGTGCTCCATATTTCCCATTTGACCTCCAAACTAGTGTGACAGTCCCTCATCTCAAAAACATGGTTTTGTTCCCAGAGTCAGCATGATATATCAATGGCTTGTGCTGTTTCCAGTAATTCATGCTGGCCCTGCAGCCTTTCACTCTGTATAGCCCTCCATAGCTTTAACACAGTTTTTTGAAGCTTTCAGTAACACTTGCCCTAAATCAATCTGGAGATATGAAACCGAATGTGGAAGTGTGATGATGAAAGTGCAGCATCATAACCATTCTGTCATCAAACATCTTGAGACTTTCATGATTCAAGATATAAACAAAAAGAGTTATAAAAACAGGGCAGCAAAGAAAAACATTTGTGTTCAAGTAGCAGCTTGAAACAGTACAAAGTTATGCTTTTACTCATTGCCTTTAAAAATCTGTACCTTTTCCTAAGTCTTTACTTTTGCATTCAAAAGTGAATTCTCTTTACCAAACCTGTCCATTAAAATACAATAATTACTGAGAGGCATTAGATTATATCCAGCAAAGCTGCTTGGTCCTACAATTATAATACAATTCTGTTTTGTGACATCAGTACATTGCCAGGGCACTGAATACAGCTTTAGATCAAAATAAATACCAATATCCAAAAGCTCAATGACTTTCAATTTGCAGTACTGAAACCTAACCTCCTTGACAGTTACTCATACCAGAAACAGAGACAACATCTCCCTCTCCTCAACCCTCAAAATTCCTGTTTTCAGCATATCTGAATCTACCCTCCCAGTGACAAGAAACATATTACTGCACCTCATCTGATGTCTCATCACCTGAAAAGTAAAATCCTACAATAAAGGCTTTAACAAAGCTGAGGAGGCATGACAATGTAAATCATTCCTCTTAAAGAAATGGGCTGGAAGTAAAGTTACTGTGACAAATGGGTTGGGACCCTAACCAGAAGTTAAACTGATCAAAACACATTCATTATACTCTTAGAATCATAGAATGGCTCAAGTTGGAAGGGACGCATAAGGATCATCAAGTCCAATTCCCAGCTCCTCACAGTACTCCCTGAATATAAACCATATGACTAAGAGCATCATACAGATAATCAAATAACCACTCAAATTTATAAGAGTTTCCTTCAATACAGCTTTTTGAGGAGGTAAAAGCAACTCTGAATATATTCCAAATATAGAATGTATCTTCTGCATATAGTTGTTATTTTGAGAACTAGTCACTTAAAACATTTTTGAAGGAAAAAAACATAATTATAGAATTACAAAGTGGTTTGGCTTGGAAGAAACCATAGAGATCATCTAGTTATAACCCCCCTGCCCTGGGCAGGGAAACCTTTCACTAGATCAGGTTGCTCAGGGCCTCATCCGACCTGACCATAAACACCACCAGGGTTGGGGCATCTACAATTTCTCTAGGCAACCTGTTCCAGTGCCTCACCACCCTCACAATAAAGAATTTCTTCCTAACATCTAATCTAAATCTACCCTAAATATTAAAAGACTGAAAAATATAAAAGCTTTATTCTGTGGCACAGGAGAGAATAACACTTTAATTCTATCAACTCTAAAAAAAAAAAGTAATCAGATTAAAAGTTCCGATGTTGATGCAATCTAGGTTTTTCAGGCCCACATTTCTGTTTGCAGGACAGATGCAGATAATTTTTTCACATTGCATATGTTTGACATAAATGTGTGAAAAAAATACAAATTATTGAGAAGTATTCGATTTCCCATTGTTGTTGATACACAGCTTAGACTTACCAGACACGTAACATCAAACTGTTACAGAACAGAAATCTAGCCAAGATACCCTTCATCTACTTTTACATGAAGAGTCAACTTCGTTAAAAACACAGTTTGAAACTGGATGCTCAGTGTGTGGCAAGAATCTGCAATTCTGAAATCTAAGCCATGGAGATGAGACAGTTCTTTCAACATCGCTGCGACTGAATACTTTTGCTCTTTGATATCAATATATTGGCCACTGTTTAATAGAGTGTCATGTACCAATTCAGAGATTCTTACTTGATTTTTTAAATATACAGTAATGCTGATTTTCTGGTTGGCCTCAGCATAAGCACCATATTACACAGTACTTATAGAGGCAAAGAAACACAAGTAGTCTTTTGGGTTGTTTTTTTATTGTAAATGGCCATCCAAATTCAAGTCAGTGACTTAAATATCTTATTGGTTAAAGGCAAAGCCCAGATTAGGGGAGAATAATAGAATAAATCCACAGAAGTCTTGTGAATCATCCACTCAGATCAAAAGGGTATAAGGAACGGTCAAATATTGTGGTAATTGTTCCCTGACACACAAGTTATTCAGCATGCCTTGTGAGATGAGAGTGAGCTGCCATTAGTTAAGTATTGAGACCGACAAAATGCCAAAAGCTATTATTATTATTATAAAGATACAACTTTTAAAATAGAACATGAGTTTAACTATATATGCTGAAGATCAAAACCATGACACTACAAAATATACTTACAGCACCAAAACCATGAAGACACTAAATATCAAGACCAGAACTATACAGGCTACCCATACAGTATCTACTTTCCAAAGTAAACATTAAAAAAGGCATTTTCCTTTCTCCTTCTTTTTTTTTTAATTCACTCCAGTAAGAAACCTAGATAATATTAAGGTCAGCATCCGGTGACAACTCAAAAGTTTCAAGAAAGAAATTTTCATGCAAGTTCATTCAGAGTTGGTGAACAGGTTTGTCTCACAGCTCTTAGTTCTTTCATAAAATAAAATATTTTCAGCAAGAAACAAAACTCTCAAAAAAGAACAATAGCAAACCTTGTGTTTAATAAAAAAAAAGTGTCATCAAACTATAAAATGAAAAAATAAAAACTAAGGACATGGGAGTGGAGGGATGTTGTATCATACCTTAGTAGGAATCCGAAAGCTTTCAACAGGACTGAGGTCATTAACACTCTCCTGAGGACTTCTTAGACCCTTTAAGAGAATTTTCATAATCAGTTATGATTGACTACTTTATGTATCTTGCAATCAAACTGCACAATCTTACCTGATGTTGAACAGATACCTGTAGGTCCTTTGACAAATACTCTGATGTGGTTGGAAAGCTAAGACCTCATTCTAGAAACATTTAAGCAAGATCATTGGTCTATAAATTATGCTCCTCAAACATCTAAGCATTTCCAACTTTATGCTGCACTATGCACCTTTTCAGTGCAGTTTACTAACGTTCTCTTCATAAAGCTCACTTACATCCTCCTCTCAACTTCCAGACATTACTTTAAATTTTAAAATGAAAGTGTGTCCAAAAACCCTAAGTACTCCTGCAGTTGATGCCAACAGTTTTTTTGCAAGCCCCTTTCGGGCTCTAGGTATCTATATTTCTTTGAAACAAAAGGACCTCTGCAAAACTACTATGTAAGTTTACAATGAGAAAAGTTTTGTATTTGTCCTTTGAAAAGGACAATGCTAAAGTGTTGTACATCACTTCTGTCGTAACTACTATATTTTACAATTGCTTCATCTTCCCAGAATGCAAAACCTCTTCATTTTGGTGTTGATTCTCAGATTTTATTGTGCATCATTTCAAAACATCCTCCCTTTCCAGTTACCACCATCAAAGATGACTCACCTCTATGCATCAGAAATTCAAGGTAAGGAATAAACAAAGCAACTGCTGCAGCTTCTTGTACTTCACACAAAATCCTTCACATAACCTCTCAAAAATCAGCAGTACAAGCAGCTTATCTCCAGAAGCAATCAAAAGTTTCACTTATCAAATGCTAAATGGAACTTTATCCTTTCCAAGGACTGAAAATTGTTCAAGCCGTATTATTTTCAGATCACATATCCACACTGGGCAGACTTCCCACTATTTTTCTTAGTCAAGCTGTAAACTCATCAAGTACCCCTATACTGAAGGGAAACAGAAGATTATTTTGCAAATTCCACTTCTGTGCCAGTATTCATTTTTAAGCCCTGCCTCCTGCATAAGCATTATGACTCTGAGGACATAGTTTAAAAAAGAAAAGTTTCTGACTTTCTCATCATTTTCTGTAACTATCTAGAATATTTGATGTGGTAGGTGACACAAGTGATTATTTAAGTTCTCCAATCTAGACACATGGACAAACAGGCTTCATTTCAGATGTATCTCATATACATGAATTATCAAATGTTCTGCTGATACACTTCTTTAAAAAGACTCTCAACCTGAGAAATACTGGTCCAAACGTAGGCTTAGATCTACATAATCCTAAAGACCACTGGTACAACTGGTACACAGCAGCGCAGTGACAGACACATATTCAATATGTGCCCACCCAAATACGTCCCCGGCACCTCCACAGCCTCGCCTACCTTTGGATCGAAAGCGTTTGCTGTCAGACAAAGCCACGCTACCGAAACACAGCCCAGCGCTACAAAATTACATGTCAAAAAGGGAACATGACACAGGCCGGCCCTGTCATCTCCAACAGCGATTAGTCTGGTGTGACACAGCTACGCGCTGGCACCCGCGCACGCTTCCATTTCTCGGTGTAAAGAGAAAAACAAGGTGGATGCCTGTGCCCCGAGAGAGACCTCACACGCCCCGAGCCCTCCCTCCCCGGGCAGCCGGGCAGAGGGCGATGCCCGCGCCTCGCTGGCCCTCCAGGGGGCCCGGGCACGGCGGCCCTAGGAGAGCCCCGGACCCCCGCGGAAAAACCCCCCTTAGAAGAACCGCTCACCTGGCGGGTCATCAGCGACTTGATCTTCTGCATGATGGCCCCGCCGCCCCCCCGACAGCGCTCAGCGGCCCCGCGCGGCGCCGGGGCACGGCGCAGCCATGTTGGGCGCCACCTGACCGCGCCCGCCCGCGGCTCCCTGGGACCGGTAGTTCTGCGGCGGCGGCGCCCGACTACAACCCCCGGCAGCGCGGCCGCGAGGGCGGGAGGGCTCCGGGAAGGGCTCGGGCGTGGGAGGCCTCTTCCGTCGGAGGCCTCTTCCGTCGCGGATCGGCTGCTGGGCGCCGGCATCCCTGGGCCGGCTCCTCCCGGCGGGGTGCGGGGGTGGCTGGGGTTTGCGGTGTGCTAATGGGGTGTTTGGACCATGAGGTTCGCTTGTGTAGCCTTTGAAAGCAGTTACTTGAGAAGACAAAACGAGGCTTTGTCTGTGGAGAGAAACTAGAAAGTACACGTAGACAACGAGCATTTCCCGGTTGCCGCGGGTTATTTCGAGTTATGCACAAGTGCGTCTGGGCTGGTCACGGGTGATGGGGTTTTGCGTCGCCAAAACAGGCTTGTATCTCTGGTTGTATAGATATCAGCTACAAGCAAGCAAACAAACAAACAAACAAAAAGCAGATAGCTTCTTAAATCTACTTCATATCAATGCAAGAAAAGGAAGAATTTATCTGACAACCTTTGCTTAACATCCGACAGTAAAACTACCGACACATTCACTATATCATAGTAGTACCTCCAGAAAAGGTGGTGTTTCCTTCTGGAGTTTATAGAGCGTGCACGTAAGTCAGCCCAGCACGTGTTTCCCAATCCTGTTGTTAGTTATCTCCCATCTGACCAGTGTGTTTTTGCAGGGTAGGTCAGGTAAGAGCAGGCGTCTGAAACGACATAGTGTCAAAAGGAGGGTCAGGACCGATGGTCCCCTCACTGCTTTCTTTAGCAGGAATTCATTACTTCTGGCTACCATTAGGCATATCGTGTGTAATTGTTTCTGTGGAAACCTCTAACAAGTTTAGCACATAACGAAGTTACTTCTTAGTAATAAAATAACTAAAATTTGCAGAAACACAAGTGTTCAAAATGCTAGTACAGCAAATAATGTTGCTTTAATGTAGTTGCTTTTATTCAAAAGAGGGAGGTTTGATTTTCGTAAAGTCTAAATGCCATTTAACGACTAGCGCAAGTTAGAATTCTATAGAAAAAATAACATGCATTTTTAGCATGCACTACATTTGTGTGTTATTCAGTGTAAAACTTGCAGCATATTAGTGACATCAAGAATTATTCAAATGCTGGAAATGAGGGGACACACTTGAAAAACATAACTGCTACTCTGTTTGGTTTTTTTTTTAGTGTCTTTGCCCATATCAGGTGTTTAAAGCACCAACACAGGCTCTGTGCCAATGTGAAAGCTCCCATTTCAGTTAGAAATGAGTTGGAACCTGTGATATTTTAATATATGTTGAAATAGTAGATAGTAATTTCTAACTCGGGTTTTATAAAAGGTTGTGATTTGATATATCTAGCCTACAGTTAAGTGGATTAAGCAGGTTATAAACAACAACATTCAGAAGGGGCAGGACAATGGACCCAGGAAGCCGTTGGGAATATGTGAAATACCCTCTTCATCTCCTGGCTAATGTCAGATGGTGATATTATTTCTGCTGGGACCACTGTATTTCTGTGTTTGTTTGCCTGACTTAACCCTTATATGTCTTCCATTGGACCTGGAAGGATCTGGGTGTTTTCGCCTCCCTTTAACTACTGTAAAAATTGAATGTTTGGCCCTTCTGCTGAGGGTTAGAACCTTGCTGTACCCCTGCTCCTAGCACACGATGAGGGGAGGCATTTCCTTACTACCAGTCCCTCATGCACAAAGCAGGATACAGTCTAGCCTAATATTTGTTAATCCATAATAGCCTGCCTAAGTGCTGTATAGTGAAAAATATAATGTGTTTTTGTATGGATAAACCATCTCTGTTGCTGCAAATATTTGCTGTTGCAAACTGTTACTGCACAAGTGTGGGAGGGTTTGCCTGATTTGCTGCTGATTTGTATGGTGAGTGACAGCTTTGGACAAAATCCAAATCCTACATTAATATTAATTTATTGATGTAAATTAATGCAGAACAAACAATAATCAGCAGCTAGCTCAACAACTGTAGTAAGCTGTCCACTCTAGCCATAGGATTCTTATTTTGAAGATGCCTGATAGACACTTGACATCATGTGTTGTTTAGAGAAAGGGAGTAAACTCTTTGCTGAGTTATGCTTATGTTAAGGAAAAAAAGTACAGAAAATTTATGGGCTTGAAAAGTCCTAGGGAAAAAATTAAGTGAGGCTCTCTAATAGCTGTTTAATGTTTTTTGTAACAGAAGAGGAGAGGCTGTCATTGGCAAAGATCTGAAAAAAATATTCTGAGTACTAATTCTAGTTTGAAATAAGCAGAAGCATGTAGCATCAGGGTATTTTTTATGGAACTATAACTAAGGGAAGTTAATAACTATATAACCTGTACACTTGGTGCGTTTACTTACTTCTATTAATTAAATGTACTTTGTATTGTGTGCCCCATTTATTACATTCTGTGTCATATTTGCTGTGGCTGCCGGGGAAGGCAATGAAGATGGGTGCTCATCTAACAGGTGCTCCACTCCCTTTGTTCTTTGTATACACATATTCAAATCACATAAGGCAGGGGACAGGATAGGGCCTGTTAACTCATTACTGATTTCCCTAGCAAATAAACCAGCTGCAGGTCCAAGCCCTGGCTTAGTGCTGAGGAGAAGGTGGCATTTGTGTGGGACAGGATGCTTTCATGGAGCCCCTTAGCCAACTTCTTTTGGGACTTAGAGTGCAGAATATATTTTCTACTTGTAGGTAAGATACAGTATAAATTATATTTGATTGTCCTTGTGGAAATGGAAATTGATTTTATAAGATTTATCTTTATAAATTTAAAGATATTCCTGTTGTGTTCTCAGATGTTTTGTTTCAGGAAAGTAGCCTAAAAGCTTTTAATCATTTAAATCAGATACTGGCACCCTGTTTTATGAGTGGAGCTCAAGTTTTAGCGCCTGCCAAAAATGAGTGCTATACATAATCTATATGTAAAATGTGGGCAATGATTAAATATATATAGTCACATTTATTGAGTACTATATACATTGTGCACTCTTTTTAAAAAGTAAGGCTGGAGAGGTTCTAAACCAAAGTTTATACAGAAGCTGTTACATACCGCTTTAAAAATTTGTTGAGACAGTGCTGATACATTATTTTTCATTTCATTATGATTAATTTATATGTAATACTTAAATGTACTTAAAACACAATTAAGCTTTTAGTCAAATGAAGAATGTCTCCCCAGTAATAGTGCATTTGTTTGGTATCTGGGTGCAGTTTTCATAAGTGTGAATTTGTTATCCATGCAGTAGATAAAAAGCAGATGTTCTATGCACTTTGACAAGAATATCCTGTCAAATGTTAGAGAAACTTATTTCTACAAACTACTGTAATTAACTTTTTCTATATTTAATTGGTTTTGTAAATGTCAACAGAGGAAATATATACTATTACAAGTGTAGTGCATCCTCTAATCTTTCATCTATAAGAAGAATTTTTCTCTTATCTTCTTTGTGAACCTTATATAAAGTCATCTAGTTTCCTTGATTTTGAGCTAAATACTTTTTCAAGAGTTTTTGCTTCATAACAATTGCAGATTTATATGAAGATTATTCAATCTCTTCTTTAAAAATGAAAAATCTTTGGTTGACAAAAAACACAGCAAATGTATGTTTTCTTTACATTACAACTTTATTGGACATTTTTCATTAAAACCCTACTAGAGATATTGTCATGCAAACAGTGCTTTACAGTACATTTGTTCACCAGGAAGTCTCGTCTTATACCCTTACTCAGATATATATATTTTCTAGTAAGGGAAATGTGCTACTCATACTTAATATCATGACAAGAACCAGGTGCATTGGAGACATGATGCAAAGCCCACTGAAGACATTGACCTCAGAAGCTAAAATTAAGTCCAGTAACAAAGCTCAGTACAACTTTTTCTTGGGCAAAAATCCCAACCCAGGGAACAGTATGCCCGAGTTTTTCCTGATATAAATGGAGATACAGAAATCACAGCTTCCCTGGTCCATTATATCTGGGATTTTTTTTCATAAATGAACATACTTGCAAAAAGTGAAAAAAATGCAAAAACTATTATCACTGATCTAGTGACATTTTACACTGAGTTCAGGGAGTTTAGAGAGCTGAAGAGCTAAATGAACACTGGTGAAAAGCAGTTGAGAGTCTAAACTCACTTTGACAAGGAGATGTGCGTGTTAAATTCAGAGAATGCTAAAACCTCACTAGGCAGGTTTCAGTTTATGCCATAAACTCAAAAGTTATGTCATAGTTTTTTATTTAAACTAAAACTGCAGCCCTTGTTTTATGTCAACAATTCTGTTGTGCTTGCTAATACTGGTGATAGCAAAGTGAGATGGAAGCAAAGCACAGATCATTGAGCTCCGAGTGGAGGTCATTTTGGTACAGCCCTTATGGTCATTAAACAAAAACTAGTTTCTGAAATTACATTGTCTTGGAAAAATATATCATATTTGGAAGGCTGTAGGGATAGGAATAATTATATGGAATTTGTGCCTGATGAATATGAATTTAGTTTGGCACATTGGCTTGATTTTGCTATTAACATTAATTCAAGGATTAGTCAAAACGGTCTTCAGTTTAAATTTAAAATCAAGACTAGTCTAATACAAGAGAATCATAGAACCGGTTAGGTTGGAAAAGACCCTCAAGATCATCTAACACTGCCAATTTCACCACTAAACCATGTCCCTGATCAAAATGTCTACGTGTCTTCTAAGTACCCCCAAGGATAGTGGTCAGTCCACCTCTTCCCCGGGCAGCCCGTTCCAATGTCTGAAAACACTTTTGGTGAAGAAGATAACCCTTTCAATAAAGAATATTCCGGACTGCAGAAGATACGGTCTCTGCAAAAACCAGAATTCTTCCATCAGTGCTCCTGTAAAACCCTTGCCTTCGACAGAGCACCATTTTCTAATAACTTGCCCCAGTCTCAGCCTGCCTTGTCCCTTGCCCTGCCAGCCGTGGAGAAGTTTCTGTGTGCTGGTGGCAGTCCACAAAATAATCCTAGCAGAGTCAGATTGAGCAACAAGCCACTCCTGAAGGGACACCAGGGGAAAAATGGAGTTTCTGCCCTCACCACCAATGGTCTTGGCTAAAAGAATTTCCTTAACTGCACATCAAAATGTCTTTCCAAGCTGTTACATGGAGCCAATTTTCCCTGTGAATCAAGTGGAGCGATGTTAATTTGCAGTTTCTATTCCCGCAGTTTTTAACTGCAGAGAAAGTAAGCTTTCCAGCCAAAATTCTCTTCTTCTTGCTCTAGTATGGTGTTACCTTTCATACTGGTGGTCCCACTTGCCCTGCTGCTTGCAAGACCTTTTGGGGTTTTGCTAATTTTCTGCACAAACAGATCTGTGAGAAATATTATTTGTTTTACATATTTTATGATTACATTGCAGCTGTTACTGGTTTCTTATCCAACAGCACAATCGCTTATTGATAGCTAAATAAACCCAGAAATTGAGCAGCATCATGTGTAAAGAATGAGGAAGGATATGGACAGATCTTTTAATTGGTCATTTACAGATCTCCCAGCTCTCTGTTTGAGAGATGTTTTTTACTTCATTCCAGTTGATATAAAAATTGAAATGTATCTGATATGTTATATAAAATAGATCTCCAACATTACAGATTTTCTGAAGGATTCTACTGAGAAGTTACTCTCTTTTTCTGTTTTTTTCAACTGGACAACAGCAATTTAAATCTGGTTTGTGCAGTAGGGTTGTCAGGGAATTAACCTCTGAGAAATGTTACACACATATTTTTTAGCAGTCTTTAATAGCACAGTCACATATTTTTCACACGTAGCTCCCTCTGTCCTCCCCCTACTTCACACCACTTTCCAGGTAGAAATGTACTCCGTGTGCTTCAGGTGGGGATTTACTTTTTGGTTACAGGTATTTGTCAAGAATCACAGAATCCCAGGTTGGAAGGGACCTCAAGGATCATCTGGTCCAAAGAAAGATGATCAGTAGCAGAAAGAGAATAGATGGTGCATGGTGAAAGCATTGCATGTTGTCCTGGGTAGTGCATTCTCAGTCTCCAGTGTGCTCTTATGCAGTGTCAGATTACTTAAATCCCTTTTTTTACACGTCCTTACTTATGAGAGGTTGCCTTTTTTTTCCTAGGGTTATGTCTTAGCACTTGCAGTGTGCTTTTCAGCATTACTGAGCACTCAAAGCTGAGCAATTAAACCTGGAGTCAATAGGAATTGCATCTTGAACATACTAAAATATGTTTATATGTATTTTGGGAAATCCAGTCCTTAACATTTCAAAATGATCATCCAAAATAAGTGGGTATTTTTGCTGTTCATTTTCTCTGGGCTTAAATTCTTCATCTATAAAATCTTATCGATTATAATGGTGTTGTGAAGTCAGTTCATTAATGTCTATGCCGTACATCATTGCTGTTCTTTTGAGTTCTGTGGAAAAGTTCATGTGAAAATCAATCACTCAGTCCAGAGACTAAACCTTTAATAATGTTCTCTAAATATGTCTCAGGCTGGCACAGTGAAAAATGATTAAAAAAAACATACATGGGAAAGACAATTATTAACCAAGGAGTGGCCTTTTTGCACCATAACAGAGACAGAATTCTTGGAGAACAGAATTAATCATGTAGCTGAAAAATTTGCTTTTGTGGATATCAACATCAATTCTGCTAATTTCCTAAGATCGGAATACTTGACTTTTGCAGGCTTAGTAATGTTTCATGAGTTTAGTCTTGCAGATACTGAGCTGTCATCAATAATAACTATATATAATTATATCAAACATTCATGGAAGTTCTACTTGTCACATTTTCAGTCAGTTTCTCAATATAGCTGGCAAAGCAACTAAGAAGTTGCTCTGTAGCTGAACCAACCTAGAAAAAATTCCTAAAAATTGAGTGTGCAATCCAAGACTATTAGAGAGTGTGAGACCTAGGAATTTGAAATATTTTAAAGGGAAAATATTTTATACATTAATGTAAATGTACATTTTCTCATTTTTCTCAAACTTTCAACAGTAAAAGGTCCTTCCTTTGGTTTTCTTTATATTTTGAAGCTGCAGCTAGACCCAACTTCACCAAGGTCAATGAGCGTTTGCCTCTTTCTTACTTGATTATCTGAGTTATAACCGTACAAAGTGTAAGTTTTAACATTGAGAGTTTTTTCGTGATGAGAATTTCTCATTCAAGTTTTCCAGGTTTTCCAGTTGTGGTTTGGGTTTGTTTATTTGTTTGTTCTTTCATTTTTATGCAGGTATTTGTTCTGCCTTAAAGTTGACAGTACCATCTCATACCATCTATGGTATTGAGGGACAACCACTTCATCTTACTGTTGACTACAATTTCAATGCTACAGCTTCTGAAATCCAGATAATTTGGCTTTTTGAGAGGCCTCAAAGTAATCCAAAATACTTGCTTGGCTCTGTAAATCAAACAGTAGTTCCAGACTTGGAATACCAGCACAAGTTTACCCTTGTACCACCAAATGCATCTTTGATGATCAATCCATTGCATATCAGCGATGAGGGCAATTATATTGTAAAAGTCAATGTCCGTGGAAATGGGACAATAGCTGCAAGTCAAAAGATTCAAGTAGCTGTTGATGGTAAGTTAGTAAGAGATGGTATCTTCATTTTGAAAATAGAATTGCAAAAGTTTTGAAGTACTGGTTCTTGGTATCCAGTTACAATAGTGTATCGTTTAATGCAACCATACATTAATAAGTTCTAACAAGTTATGTTGTTTTGTACTGCTACTGGAGGGAATGATAAAATATGTCATCTTTAAACAAAATTAATATATTGACTGATGTTTCTGTATCATAAGTAAAAAACTGAAGAGGTAGAATTATCTAAGAGAATGACAAGAGGCTACTGTAATTTATGGATTACACAGAGAGAGCCCTGTAACTGTTGGGCTTGGAAGAATGAGATGAATGACATCTTGAGGTGACAGAGTTGTAGCTGCCATTTAACTGACAAATCCATCCCAATTTGCAGCCATCCTCACGACTGGATCACCCAGTGGTGCCCAGTGTGGGCAAAGCTGTGGGCAGTCATACTGAGAAGTCATACATCATGGGCAGTGTCATGCTTTGTGCTCTTTTCATTTCTATGGCCTCAGTGATTTGTATGTGAGGCAAGAGCTGGAGGCTGTGGTATACCTCACTGCAGCCTTTATCTTATTACCAGTAATCTAAACAGTCTGGTTTTATTCAAGTACTGTAACAATTCTTGCAGTCACCAGCTGAGAGTATGGCTTTCTTTTTTAACCTTTAACCACATTTAATAGATAAAATTTGAAGTATGAGTAATTTCCAGTGAGAATGATGACTGCTATTTGAATCATCTTGACAATGAAGCCTGTGATATAGTGGCTTGTCACTTTAACAACTCCTATCTCTTTATTTTACAGTTCCAGTCACAAAGCCAACTGTACATACTGAACCATCTTCAGGAGTAGTGGAATATGTAGGAAATATTACCCTAAAATGTATTCTGGGTAAAGGTACAAGGGTAACTTACCAGTGGATGAAAAATGGGAAGCGTCTCCATGCTGGCCCTAATTATACCTTTTCATCAAACAATGCTACACTTCTAATTGTTCCTGTTGTAAAAGAAGACATTGGGAATTACAGCTGTCTAGTATCTAACCCTGTCAGTGCAATGGAAAGTGAGATAATTGCACCAACCATATATTGTGAGTATATGAAATATTCATTACTACCTTAGTATGAATGATCTGGCTGGAAAGAGTGCCTCTAACTATGGAAACGGGCAGAAAACAGTTGAGTCAACATTATATGTGAGTTTGCATTCCAAATGAGCTTGTTTGTAATAGCTCTAACTGACGACAGGATAATCAAGTTACTCAGTGTTATGTGGTTGTGAAGATCAGTCTCAACTGCAGAATTCAAATAAGAATTCCATAGACATCTTGAGATCTGGAGATGATGGGACTTAAAGGAAAAAAAATAATCAGATGGTTACACATGTAAATATTGTTAAAAATGGAGGTGCCAAACAGTGTCAAAAAGCTAAGTACAGAAAGTACCAGGCTGAAGGACTGGTGTTAGTGGGTTTCTTCAAGATCATTTGGAGTCCAGTCCTGTTTAATACTTCCAGTAATGGCACCAGCATAAAGATTGGGAATATCTCAATGAAGTTAATCTGTGACATTAAATAGGAGGACTGAATAACTAAAACATAGTAGTAGAACTGGTATGAAATTTGCTAGTAAAAAATAAATGGGCATGGCCTTTTAGGGAATAAAAAACATGAACTTCTGCTGGTGAGATTGAGATCTACTGGGAAATAATCAAGACAGTGAGCCTGGATGATTGAGCTATCACAAGATTTTTGTGAACTAGCAGTGTGATTCATGCATGAGAAAGACATATGTAATTCTAGGGTGATGGGCAAAGGATTTCCAACAAGAAAACAGTAGAATACTAATGGCACATAGAAAGTCAGACCCCATGTAGAATGCTGTGTGCAGTCTCTGCAGCTCCTAGAGCACTGATCTCAAACTGGAAAGAAACAGAAAAAAAAGAAATGGGGAAGAGATCCAGAGAACTCAGTCAGGCTTAGCAAAACTAGAGCTGAACAGAGTGTTTGCTTTCCACATCAAACAGGAAACAGGAGGGAGAAAGAAGAGTTGCATAAAGACCAGTGTTGCCAGAAGAATAAACCATAAGGTAGCCATATATTTTGACTGGAAATGGAGGCACCTGAGAAACTAACTGTGAACATAGATTGAGTTCATGAATGAATTTAATCAGTATTCAACAATTTGTAGTATAAATCTTAGAATGGGCACTCATTTTTCCCAGTGCCTCCAAGATTTGCAAGTAGCACATGCTACACGTGACCTCTACTCATGTCCTCAGGGGCTGAACTGTCATTCTCAGTGGAGAGCTGAAATCAGACAGGTCAGGACCTGCTTTGCCACCAATCCTGTTCAGATATAACCAGTTTAACAAATGGCAGAGTGGATGGCACAGTGCAAGGTCTGGAACAGGATTCCTGTCCAGCCAAGTGTTAGTGCTCACTCTTGCTTTTACCAAACTCTGTCATCTGGCAGCTGGTAGGCAGTATATGCCCTAGACTTGTTATGATTGCACTACCAACAAATTCAGAACCTACACCTCTTACTGTCATATTTTCCTTCTCCTCCTTTCACCTCTTTTATTCTTCTACTTATTTCTTTTGAATTATAACTTGGAAGAATTAGATAAGGGCGTGACTTGCACCTAAAGCGTGCGTCCGGGATCTCTACACTGCACCAAGAGTACAGAAAAAGATTGCCTAAATTAGCAAAGATTAACAAGGACATTGTTAGATATGAGCTGATCACTAATGCAGACCTTATAAAATTGACAGCAATGCAGACATGAAGATGAAGAAGCTGCTGCAAAGAGTCCTAAACAGGGCAGATGTGAATTGAGCTTCTGTCTCATTAGACAGAGGAATCATGCTAAAACACTCTACAAGGAAATAGCTCCAGCACCGATGGGAGTTTTAATTTATCATTACCATAATTTAAAAAAACCCCAACATTTCTTCCTCAAGGTAGCACATTTTTAAATGCCTGCTTTTGTACAGTCAGAATCTCAGCTCACTTAAGTGTTTAAAGTGCTAAGTGTGAGAGATGAAGGTTTATGAATGCAGTGCCTCTATTGCTTTTTTCATTTTAATGAGCTGTGAGTGGGCCTTATACACCTCTTTTTTCAAAGAATACTTACACAAAACTTGGGGTCGCTGTATCCAGCCCAACAGCCTTCTTTCAATGCAATAAAATCAGGTCAAGCTAGAAAAATATCTGCCACTCTTGCTAGTGTTCAGACTGCTCTTTTTGTTTGTGGCACATCCTGCACGGCATTTGCATTTCTGACCTGTTGCACACAGGATCAGCTCCAGAGCACTGATCACACTGATGGGTGTCTGGGACACTTGCACTGACCTTCAGTCTCAGCCCTAGTACTGCTTCCTTCCTTCTTCCTCTCTCAACTATATCACAGCAAATTTGAAAAATCTTCCCAAGCTCTAAACTGGAAACCTATTTTTGACCTATTTATCAGAATTTTAAAATGTCAAAGTTACTTCAATGTCCACGTTTCTGGAACATTTTGCTGTTTGAGTGGTTTGGATATGCAGCTCAAAAGATGAGTATGTCAAAAACTTTGAGATTCAGTTTTTCTCCATATGTGTAAATAGCATTATAAGTATTTGCATTTTCAGAATGTCCTTTGTAATTCATCAGAACTGAGGGTTTGCTTTGTGCGTAATGTAAGATTTGAAAAAAAATGTTAAAACAATGCAATGCTGAAAGACTGCAATACATTTGCTGCTGTCTGTATCCGAGTCAGTGATGGGGATTGAGGTCTTATTTCCTGAGCTATATGAAGTCACTTAATTTGGTTCAACCTCTGCCTGCAGAGGTAGTTTGTCTCCCAGCTCCCAGTTGTCAATAACAATCCAGAACAGGCCCTGGGATCTCTCTCTGTGCCATATGTCATTGCTGCGGGGGAGTTACTGGAGGTGATAAAGAAAAGGTCACTCACGGTAAATACCTGCCATCTGCTTGGAAACTGTAACAGTCTCATGGTGATAGGAGCAATTGGAAATATTCCCATAGAGCAGTAAATTGTTACTCAGAAAGGATGATTTATTATTTTACAAGTCATTTAGTTAACTGTTTTTACTGAGACAAAAGGCATGTTGAAAACAATACTGGAAAGGAGACATAGAGCTGAGGGACCCATGAAGGCTGTCACTGTGGTTTTTTACTAAGTATCAAATTAGGTTTTTTCTTCATTTCTTATTAGTATTATTCTGCTTCTCCATTAGCTATGATGATAATGCACCCCTGAACATGGCTACTGTAGTAGTCTGACCCAGAAACTAATTATTTCAAGACTGAAAAAAGCTGTTGTCCTAGAGGCTGCAGCAGAAACTGTTGTACTGTATTCACGGAGTTGAACTTAACAAGCTAAGTGGGATTTTCTTCCTTAGGACTTCCCAAAGCTGGAATATATTTACTATTAGAGCAGAAATGGTTAATTACCTGCTTTTCAGGATCATCCTTGAAGCTGTGTCAGCTGTCAGCTACCTCGTGTTTAGGGATCTCGGTGAGGCAAAAAACTGAGCCAGGTGAAGCAGAAGGGTTACCCAATCCTTGTGTTGACTTCAGCAAGGAATGCCACTTTTCAGATTTTGCCAAGATTTGACTGTTTCTTAAGGAAACCTCTCTCTATTTTTTTTCAAACATACTTCCCCAGCCAGTGTGCATCAATGTTTTTATAATGGTTTCTTTCAATTTGCAGCTTTCATAAAAAAGTGTAGTCATGTTGTCAGTGTTACCTTTCTATGCTGCACTGTTACAATAATGATAAAACAGTATCAGAACTCAGTTCCGATTCTTTTGCAAATGTGGCAAATCACCCACCAGTCAGCTATTCTTACCATTAGTCTCTTTTTACACATATCAAAGGTTATATTTTCAGTGAAAGTAAAAGCTAATTCTTCTAAGAAAGGAAAATTGGATAGGAAGAAGCAACAAATTGCTCTGAAAAGTAAAAAAGTATGTTCCTACCTATAAATAGTGTGTGAAAGTCTTTACTTTCATTTATGAAAAAGATCAGTACATCCCTTATCCTTTCCCATCTGAAAAAGGGGGGAAGTAAACACCTCTAAGAGGCAAGCCCCTGAAAGAGGCTGTTGTTCTGGGATAGGTCTGTGCTTCAGAGAAGTGTTCATTACAGGATTCATTACAGTGGCCCTTGGAGACAATAAAGCAAGTGACTCAGGAATTGCAGAGAAGAAGTAGCCCAGCATCTAGAGTTTAAAAAAATGCCTTTATTCTTCAAAGTGGCCCCTGAAATCTAGGTGGGAGCAGCACTAATTCATGCTAAAGTGAGTCTGTATTTTATTTCCCAAGTAAATATTTTGCATGATGTTGGCCATTCCTTAAAATGAGGCTGCAAAAAGCTTGCCACTAGGAAATAAATACAGAAAATAAAAAACTTGACAAGTATATGTTGTGAAATGTGGACATTTGGTTAAAAGTGGACTAAACTGAAGTCACGTATGGTAGACATTCTCTTGTCTAAGTCTTCACAAACAGAAAAAACAAAGACATACCAAAAAATGGCCTGTTTTGTGCTGCAGGTGGCCTGTGTGTTCTTAAAGAATAAATGAGTCATAAAAAAAGACAGATGGTAAATAGAAGTGTACGTTAGAGGAAGCTCTAACATCGGCCTGCATTTCCTGGTGAGAAGTAGAGTCTGAAATGTACCAGTGTGCAGCTTCATGCAGCAAGGAATTTCACATTCAAACCCAGCTACATACCTTAATTCTTCAGACAACCATAGGAAGGTGTAAATATTACTTGATTGCATTGTCTACAATGGACACAGTACTGTCCTCATTTTTTGCTATGCCATTCTGTGTGAGGCACTTGTCAGCAGCTTTACTGAACTTCAGGGATCCTACCAAAAAGATATTCTTGGTGTTTTCTTCTTTTGGCTCTGTCAATATTAAGTCTGTGCATTTTTGATCATTCACATAAGTCCTTAGGGAATTAGCAACAATAAAATTATTAGTTTGGGTTTTTTAACTGAAAAAAATTATTTAATAAGGCACATTTTGAGTATTATATTCTCTACATTAATTTCTATACTTTCAAAACTTGAAAATCATTTTAACATATAAAGATATAAAAGCCCCATGATCTGAAATGATCTAATAAAAATAACATGGGAAATATTCCTATAATATTTAAATATATTGTTTCCCTTCTCATTTTCCTATGAAGATTATCCTAGAAATATCTAGCTGCTCAATTTTTTGAGTAATGAACACATGACTATTGGACAATATATGTCTTTTCTAATTATATTCAGAAACACAGTCTTCTTTCAGCACAAGGACTTACTCTTGAAAAAAAATCATAATTGTTGGAACAGTATAAACCTACTAAAGTGGGGGGAGGTTAAAGTTTATTCTAGAAGTCATTTCTGGAAAACTTTTTTCTGAAGTTATCTAAGACCCACTCCACTTTATATTATACCTGTAGAATAGCTCCCTAAATAATTATTATGCTGCTAAATATTACAATTAATGTTTATATACTCCAAGGCTAATTTATTCACTTTTACATTTACAGAGAAATTACTTATGCCAGTAAATTTGGCATTGAAGTAGAAATCACATATGCCCCTCAAGAAGATATACTCCTTTACTTCATAGCTTTTCCAACTGATTTCAGTTTTCATTCTTTTTATCATACTGATCAATGCATAGACCTGTGCCTTTTCCTTAAACAGCAAATAAACCAATATCGAGTGGATGTAGTTTGACCTAAACCTAGTACAGATCCAGTTATTGAACTAAAAGCTAGACTAGCCTTTAGAAAGGATTCTAGGTAAGGCTAGTCTAACTTAAAAATTTTAAGTTTAGAGATATGCTCCTGTTTAAAGTTTAATTATATACTTTGATTTTCATTTTCTCACTGTGTTTTCCTTTTCTTTTTTTCAATGCAGATGGACCTTATGGTCTTAGAGTTAAGTCAGATAAAGGTCTGAATATAGGGGCAGTGTTTACAGTTGACATGGGAGAAGTTATACTGTTTGACTGTTCAGCAGATTCAAATCCACCAAATACTTATTCATGGATTCGAAGGGATGACAATACCACTCACGTAATCAAATATGGACCCCATCTGGAAGTTGTATCTGATAAAGTGACCCAGAAGACAATAGATTACATGTGCCGTGCTTTCAACAACATGACTGGAAAACGAGATGAAACTCACTTCACAGTCGTGGTTACTTCTGTAGGTAAGAAATTACCATCATTGCTGTAACTGTAATATCTGATTGGAGTGTCAGCCACATAGAAAGGGATAATTCTTAGAGTATGTATCAGAATTGAGGTCTGGCTAACAATGCAGTAAAGGGGCTTTTGGCCATTCAAGGTTTGCGATGCAGGGTTTACTCGCTGTGTGACACAACTTCGAACAAGGCCCACTAAGACTGAAGTTTGTGGGGTTTTATTACGATGTTCATAGAAATTATTTCACTGTCATTTTTGTGAATCTCTGGATTGACTGCTAGGTTCTGTTCTCCTACACTATAACCTCAGCTCCTCTATCAGATTGTGTTAAAGAGCAACAAAGCAGTTTTTCAGAAAATCTCCAGAAGCATACAGGGAAGAACAAGATATTGAGGAAGTGTGATATCTCTTATTAGTACAGATGGATACAAGTATTTTCAGATAAAGGAGTGTATGTTATTACTGTTCAACAAGATAGAATATTGCCTTTAGAAAATTTAACAAAGCAATTTCACTTGTGCAGAACAAAGAGCTCAGCCATTTGTTAGTCAGATAAACAAGGAGAGCAGATGTCCATCATTCAGGATGATTTATTGATTCATCACAAATCCATGGCTTTCAGTATGCTGGAAGGAAGATGCGTTGCGATTTTACAATGAAAATACTGCACTTGAAAACCAAACTTTGTGGTTAGTGGTGAAAGCAAATGCAATAAGAGCTGTGTCAATAGAAATAAACATGACATTTCTCCAGGAAGTTTGTGTAAGCTATGATATATATATGTGAATATTCATCAATATGTGTTAAGAAGTGTAGCTGAGATTTCCTTTCAAAGGGCCAAAAGAAGGTAAAACTCCACAGCTTCATGTTAAGTTGCACTTGAAATAATGAATTTCCTAATTACAAATATTTTACTTTAATACATATTATTAAAACACTTTATCCTGTGTATTTAAAAATGTAATAAGGCCATTTTCCCCCTCTGTAACCATATTCTTTTTGATGAGTATTTATCCAGATAGCACTAAATCCAGATGTCAAGCCCACACTTTGCAATGCAGCACTGACTGATTCCGAGAGGTATGAATTCAGACTCAAGGCTAAATCTCAGAGATGCTGCTCAGGCTAAATTCTGGTTGTAACTGAATAAACATACCAAGCAAAGACTGTGAAAGTTGCTCCATATTCCTTTTCCCTATCCCCATAATCTAGATATGGAGCCTGGACTATGCCTTTCAAAATACCAGAAACCCCATTTTCAGCAGCAACAGGAAGTCTGATGTTTCAGAAGACCTTACACAACTTCCCAACTAAAGGATAGAAACTCACCTATATGGTGCTATAAACAGCTGCCTAATTAATACTAAAAATGATCAAGCATCAAAAAAAAAGCATCAAGCACTGTTAAATAATTGTATCAATAAGTTACAATTATATCAGCAATTGCACTAAGCTTTTACCCTGTTTTAGCCAGATTTCAAAATAAGAGGAGGTATCTCATTATGTACTCAAGCCATTGCTCAGTTCTCAAGCTGAGTCAACCTGAGTGTGTTAAATGCATGCAGAGCATGTCTTTGTTTTCTGCACTGGTATGATTATTGAATCTAAATTTGAAATAATTAATTTTAAAGGACAATTTTAAGAACTCATCTGATTTTCCAGCATTTGGCCTTTTTTTCCCCTAAGGAAAGCAGTACATTGAAGGACTATGAAAAAATTTGGTGAAATTGGAGTGATTTATTTTCCCTTACCTTCAGGACACATCTAGTTCTAAATCCTCATATTTAATCTTCATGATAACCACTGCACATGCAGCCAGCACAATGCCAGTGTACAATAGAGATGTAAGTAGATGTAAGCAACTCTAGCTCTCTGCACAGGAGTTCATCAAGTACAAGAAATACATCCAGCTAAATAATACACATTTGAATTGTACTTATAAAGCTGGCACTGACAAATATGCACCATTAATTTACATATATGGATTGTGACATGGCCATCAATTATGAGAATTCTGCACAGTTCAGAGCAAAGGCAGAGATTAAGGGTGCACAAGCAACTATGTCTGGCACTTCCTATCACGTTCCTGTCTTTCCAAAATTCACTGCAAATGTTTTCCATGTGCTTTTGAATATGTAATTTTAGGCAATTTGTATTTGTGTTGTATCAGTAAATCCTGCTGGCAAACTGCTGCTAATGCATATCCCAGCAAAAGATCTGAGCAAGGGAAAGAAATATTTTAGATATATTTAGACATGAATTCAAACAAACATAATTTATTGGGTTTTGATGGGGTTTGATAAACAACCAGACCGTCAGTGATCTGAAAATCTTGATTAAAAGTATAATGGTTCTTTTATCCCCTCCTGCTCTACAGCTCCTACCACTTAGAGGGTTTCCCTCCCATCTAACACAACCTGCTCACTTGTCACCCAGTTTCTTGGTAGTTCAGTGTCTCTATGCCTAAAGTTAGAATACAATCCTACTTTTTGTGATGCTGTGATTTGTGGATTATATTAACTAACCTTCATTTAGCTCTAGGTACCAACCTTCTTCTGGACTTGTTTTTGATATGCATATCATTGCTTTCTTAGTTGAAGATTTGTGGGGAAAAGTAAATATTACCAATTCACAAGAACCCAAATTTTGTACCTGTTTTGTATCTCTATGCAGCTTTAATAGCTTCAAAGTAATTTCAAAAGATGTATTTTTCAGTGTCATTGTAGCACATTGTAGAGAACAAGAAACTAAATACAGTATTCATCTTCTTTGTCACAGGGTTGGAAAAGCTGGCCCAGAAGGGAAAATCTTTATCTTCACTTGCAGTAATAACAGGAATTTCATTATTTTTGATCCTAGCTATGACTTTTTTATTCCTATGGAAAAGATATCAGCCATGTAAAGGTATGTAAATGTTAGGCACAGTCCAGTTGTTCTTTTGAATCATCAGAGCAAAAGGAATAATTTTTTTCTTCTTCTTTTCAGTGATACAACAGAAGCTACAAAGCAGGTACAAAAATAAATCATTCTTAGGTCCTGAAGTCTTTCAAGAGAATTGTATTTTATCATATTAATTTTCTTTCCTTGGCTTGTGACGTCAAACTGAGAAACATCTTTATGTTTTCTAGGCCAGAGGCTGATTACAGAAAGGCACAGGCATTTTCAGGTAATGCTAATAAAAGAAATATGAGCACAAGGTCAAAATCCTTTCCTGAAAAAAAAAATCTCCACATAAAAAAGAAAGAAGACAAGGAAGGGAAGTGTGTTTTTAACCTGAGTTGCACACCTCTATGTTAGCTTAGGACCAAGATGACAAGTCAGCATAGATTTAGCTCATGCCTGGAGTTCACAGCAGTATGTACCCTGTTGGCTTGAATTCTACCTGTTAATCCCAGTATTTTGAGGTTAGAGTCATCTGTATCCCACTGCTCTCACCATATGACATAAATTATTGTCATTCTGGGATAGCAGTAAGAGGGGATACACCATGGGAGGATCACAATTACAGATGTTCATGGCACCAATTGTTACAAAATCATGAGATAATAACATGATATTACAGTGTATATATTTAACCTTCTGCCATATTCTGTACTACCTTTCTCTCTGTCATTAGGACCCAGAGTGGTTTTTTTCACTTTCTCTTTTCCCTCCACAATCCTTCCCACATGATCCTGGGCAGGATATGGAGACCAACCATCCTTTGGAAGGGTAGCACTTTTATTCCCATCCCTTTCTACCAGAGTGTCAGAGCAGACTGTAAACTGCTACATGCACGAGAATAGGGAACTATACAAATCTTAGGAAGGTAAGAATTTCACTTGAGCACAGAGAGCCCTTCACCCAAACAAGTGATATCAGAGGACAGGATCTCAGCATTGTTGTTGGTGCTGCAGTCTTTGCTGTGGAGTGATGCCCAAGAGAGAGCTGAGAGTCTCCAACGTCCTGGACAGTGGGAGGGTAGAGAAAGAGACTAACTGCGCCTAACTACCAGCTGTTAACTACATCTAAATACAAGCTGTACCTGGCATCCCAAATAATAATTTGGCACCTATTAGTATCATGTTTCCTTTTATTATTGTCAGCATTGTAAAAGATTCAGGTGGTACTGCCTCACTACAGTGTAGATGTGCAGAGTTTATGGATTGGGCCTCTTTTCTATGGGAAATGAAAGTAAATTTGTCACTTTAGCCTTCCAGCAAAGACAGTACCAATGGCTCTACCAAAACTAAGGTTAGCAAGATGCCCCTCACTTGGTCCAAGATGTTGGAGATCACCAAGCAGTGTGCACACCAGCTGTGCAGCTGCCCTGCCTCACTCTACACCAGTTTAAGAGCTTGGCACGGAAGTAGTTTAAATCAGATCACATAAACAGTATTCAGATGTTTTAAAAATAAGGCCAAAATACTTTGCCAGCCATTATTTTCCAGGTTCATATTACATCTTGATCCTTTTTTTTCATGTTTGTCTGTTCTAACTTTAGGACATGAAAGTGCTTCAGATGATTTTGGGATATATGAGTTTGTCGCTTTTCCTGATCTTGCCAGTGGTTCTAGGGTATGTGATTTTATATCGTAAGCAGATGGTTCCTCATCTATTTCTTAAGGTGTGCTAAATATCTGTACTACAATCCTTCTGTAGGTTTGCTTCTTGTTGCTTTTTACAGATGTCTGTATGACACTATATTCATGGCTGTTGTTTACACAGTATTTACTCTTTCTTTACTGCATTACTAGTTCAGTACTTTGTATCAGCATGGTGCAGTAAGGAATAACCAAGCTCTAAAGACAGGAATCTCCATTCAACTACCCTATATTAAAAGAATATTAGTAGTGTTGGGTAACACTGAACCACTTGTGTCACACAAGTAACTATTGTGATGCCATTTTGTCCCTTGACCCTAATATTGCTGCTCATGCAAAATGCAACTCTGTCAGTGCAGAAAAGTCTCAGGGAGGTATTTAAAATTTTCATTGTAAAAAAATATGTAAGCCAAATCTCAGCTGTATTTCACAAAAAAGTATTTGTTTAGCTTCATGTATTGTAGAGCAGGACAAGCAAAGGAATTTTGCTAGCAGAAAAAAATCCTACTGCATTTGCTGCTTCTTTGCATTGTGTCTTTGCTGAGATTACTGTATAGTAGTTGGAGATGATTCTGAATGCTGTGTAAAAGGACCAAGAAAAAATCAGAAACAGGGCCACAAAATTTAGGGACAACAGAGTGAAATTGGGAGGAAGCAGAAGAGCGACTTTCCCACGCTAGAGAAAATTTCTGCCAATAGAATGTTGTGCCTTTTGAGAGTATCGATATGTTCAGGTAAGGGAGAGCTCTTATAGCATGGTTACAGGGTCACATTGTCACACCTATTTTGTTATTATGATTAGTACTCACAATACATGATGTATTAGAAAAAAAACAGTCATAGACTAATAAATTCTCTGATGGAGTTGGATGATTGAAATATACATTTATAGGGCTAGAGTGCTATCGTAAATGTTAGTGGAGAGGACAGACTTTTACAGCAGCAGAGATAAAAGGCTCTTAGAAAACAGGAACTGAACTGTATCTGTGACAGTTTGTGACAATGAGAGGCTTATTAATTTAGAGATCAGGCCCTAAATGATTACAGCCTTCAGTACACTGTGATATTATACTGAAGAGGGTATATTTAGATTACGTATTAGGAATAAATTATGTACTGTGAGGGTGGTGAGGCATTGGAACAGGTTGCCTCAGTTGTGAATGTCCCATAACTAGAAGTGTTCAAAGTCAGGTTGGACTTTGAGCAACCTGGTCTAGTGAAAGGTGTCCCTGCCCATGGCAGGAGAGGGGTTGCAGGTAGATGATCTCTAAGGTCCCTTCCAACCCAAACCTTCTATGATTCTATATCCCTTAGGCTGATCATATCACAATTCTGCAAGAATCGGGGCCTTGGTAGGTCAGAAGGGAGAGACTAGTGACAAGGACAACAATGGATGTACAAGCAAAGAAATCTATAATAATTTTCAGTAAAATTTCAAGGAGAAACTCCTCTGGTTTATGTTCAGTTACTCAGATTTGTAGTATTGCAGATAAAGTCAGCATTTGATCCGCTCATTCACTGATTTGATCCACTGTCAGCCTGACCTCAGTGCCTGGCAAGGTTATGGAGCAGATCATTCTCAGTGCAATCACACAGCACCTACAGAATGGACAAGGGATCAGACCCAGCCAACACGGGTTTACGAAGGGCGGGTCCTGTCTGACCAACCTGATCTCCTTTTATGATCAGGTGACCTGCCTGATGGATGAGGGGAAGGCTGTGGATGTTGTCTACATGGCCTTCAGCAAAGCCTTTGACACCGTCTCCCACAGCATATTCCTGAAAAAGCTGGCAACCCAGGGCTTGGAGAGGGGCACTCTGTGCTGGGGTAGGAACTGGCTGGAGGGCCGGGCCCAGAGAGTGGTGGGGAACGGGGCTGCATCCTGTTGGCACCCGGTCACTAGTGGTGTCCCCCAGGGATCAGTGTTGGGCCCAGTTTTATTTAATATCTTTATCGATGATTTAGATGAGGAGATTGAGTCCACCATGAGCAAATTTGCAGATGACACTGAGTTGGGGGGAAGTGTCGATCAGCTGGAAGGCAGGAGAGCTCTGAAGAGGGACCTGGACAGACTGGAGAGTTGGACCAATTCCAATGGGATGAGGTTCAACAAGGCCAAGTGCCGGGTCCTGCACTTTGGCCACAACAACCCCCTGCAGCGCTACAGGCTGGGCACAGAGTGGCTGGAGAGCAGCCAGGCAGAAAGGGACCTGGGAGTTTGGATCAACAGGAAGCTGAACATGGGCCAGCAGTGTGCCCAGGTGGCCAAGAAGGCCAATGGCATCCTGGCCTGGATCAGGAACAGTGTGGCCAGCAGGAGCAGGGAAGTGATTCGACAGTGTACTGTACTCGACAGTGGTGAGGCCACACCTGGAGTACTGTGTCCAGTTCTGGGCCCCTCAGTTGAGGAAGGATATTGAGGTGCTGGAGCAGGTCCAGAGAAGAGCAACGAGGCTGGTGAAGGGACTTGAGCACAAATCCTATGAGGAGAGGCTGAGGGAGCTGGGGTTGTTCCGCCTGGAGAAGAGGAGGCTCAGGGGAGACCTCATCACTCTCTACAACTCCCTGAAAGGAGGTTGTAGCCAGGTGGGGATTGGTCTCTTCTCCCAGGCATCTACCAGTAAGACAAGAGGGCATGGTCTTAAGCTGTGCCAGGGGAGGTTTAGGTTGGATATTAGGAAGAAATTCTTTACAGAGGGGGTAATCAGGCATTGGAATGGGCTGCCCAGGGAAGTGGTGGATTCACTGTCCCTGGAGATTTTTAAGATGAGACTGGATGTGGCACTTAGTGCCATGGTCTAGTAACCACAGCAGTGTTGGATCAAGGGTTGGACTTGATGATCTCGGAGGTCCCTTCCAACTTGGCTGATTTTATGATTCTACGATTCTATGATTTTGGTTAGTAGAGAAAGGGGAAAATAAGAAAGTGGAGATAACGAAGAGCTGGAGGTAGGGTATAGGCAGAAAGACTGGGAATTTCTTATGGATGGGGAGTCTAGGTATGTCTGTTGTGTTGACATAAGATCAGATTAATATACTTAAGATATTGAACTATTTCATTATTACTTCATTTATGGGAATTCTTTGCACTTCTCTGTCTTTGACATGCTAGTGGGAGTTTTATGCTGAACCCATGCCCTGAATATTTTCTCCTTTTTTACTCTCTGTTCTTCTGCTCTCTCTTTATTGAATGTTTTTTTTCTTGACTTGCGGTATGTTAATATAAAGTACTTGCTATATTAAATGCAGAAGTTGCATCCTAAATCTTCTAAGGTGCTAACTGAATTTAAAACTATTACTTGCCTTATTATAAATGTGATGAATACTTACCCAAAATGAAATGTAAACTAATAGACATGACCTGTTCAAGCCACACAAAACATTGATGAAAAGTTAAAAAAAAGACAAGTTACATTATCAGTCTAATTTCTGTTAAATCTTTTCCTATTTTTACTTACAGTAGGAATACACTTTGCTACTTTTAGGTTTCAAGTCAATCTGTTCCTGGCTCTGACTTTGTCCCAGGCCAGGATATGCTTAATACGGTTTATGAAGTTATTCAGCATGTTCCTGACCAGCCACAACAAGACCACCAACAGTAAGTTAAAGGCTGCATTCACTCATGTGGTAGCTCAAAGGCAAGAACTTCAGCATCTGGAACAATTTAAATTTTGGTAGCTGTTATTTGATTCCATTGAGAGGGGTAAGGAAGGAAAACAGGTAAAAGCTACACCAGTTCCTCCACCATTTCCTATCGAATTCCTCACTTTTCCTGAAGACACCAGTCTGTTGTTTCATCATGTCAGTTTTGTGTAAGTGTGAAAAAAAAGGTAAGATCTTCAAACACTATTTCAGACGAAAATTCCTGCATAATTTAAGGTGGTAACTATAGCTTCACAGCACTGGGACATCAGCACTTCCTACTGAGCAGGTTAAATATTCAATCAAAGCAATTTAATTGACAGCACAGCTTCCAGACCTGCCAGCCATGTGTCAAGTAGAGTTAGGGTGGGCTTTTTTGCCATGTTGAAACTGGTCAGCTGATCACTTATCAATGGTTATTAAAATAGCCGCTGAAATATTAATGAACAATGCTTAGTTGCTTGAGTAAGCAATGTCTTTAGAGCAAAAGAATTTTGTTCTGCAGTACCTTGTCTGGGAACTCCACAGAAACACTTTTGCTGAGTTAAATACCAGGAAGGCCACAGCGTGTTGTTCTTATGTGGTTAGCGTCTGGTAGACCTGGTTTTGTTCAAGTCACCTACTGTGTAGCTCTTCTTGGCATACGAAGAGTGGATACACTGTAAAGTTTCTGTAATTGCAGTACAGCTGCCATAAATCTTTTGTGAATATTGAAAGTCTTTCTTACAAATTAAGAACAGGACACAAGACTATTTGGTAACAAGCCTATTATATCACATTGCCCATGTTTTTATGATGTGTTCTATTTCTTTTTCGGTTGAAAATACACACTCTCACCCATATACTAATCAGTTGGCTTAATAATCACAATGTTTATGTGACTGCATTAGCATGCTGTACTTACAGTACAAAAAATTTTGTGCCAGTTTTATCTTCAACTGTGTGTCCAAATTACAAATGCAAACATACAGCCATGGTTGTAAAAACAAGTTGTGAGAAAGCAACAATGAATTACTAATTATGCTTTTGTTCTGCTTGGCATTTTTCACTTTGAACCCTAAGATGATTTTTAAAGCCAGATGTACAAAATAGCATTCATAAAGTACATATTTTTTTATTCTTCCCTCCTACATGTCTTCCTTCTCAATTCTCTCACTGATACGTGACCCCTCTGAAAAAAGGAATAAATGCAACAAAAAGGTAACTTCAACTTTGTGACAGTTCAGATTTCAACTCAAACTTCGCAAAGCATATTCTGTAGTTGTAAAGAACTAATTTGCATAAACCTGGTTTGCTGCTCTTTTCATATTTCATATTTGAAAAAGAAACATAGGAACAAAATTTTCACTAATAACACAAAATCTGCTAAGCATGATACTGGGTAAACTACTCAGATTAGAAAGACCATGTTCATGAATTTTCCAATTCCTGACCTGCTGAGAAGGAACACTCTGAGTGATAAATAAATAAGGACAACAGTGAACACTGGTGCTTACAGCAGGATGCTTCAGCATTCAGTATAAGGGAAAAACAAAACACCACAGAACAGGGAATAAAGCTGGGAAAGTAATTGCAAACTCCGGTAGTGCAAAGTAATGATTGCTTATGGATGAATCCCACAGACTTGGTATGCAGCCATCTGTACAATAATCAGCAATATTCATGAGAAAAATGGTACAAAACTTGCTTGCGCTCTGCTTATGGCAGGAATCTCTCTTTGTACAAAACAAAAAGAACAGATATGGGAGCCAAACAGGTTTATTAGTAAACTGATCATTTTGCTCTTATTCCCAGTGCTTCCAGCTGGAACTGCTGTAATTTCATAAATTTATTAAAATAAATGTGCAAAGAAAAGTCAAAAGCAATGTTTCATTCTCAGATTTGCAGTCTGAAAATCCTTCAAATCCTCTCTTGAGTGTAACTTCACCAGCATTAGCTGGTGTTCTTTCTCTTGCTCTTAGAAATCCCAATGAGAGTACAAGCACATTCACGGACTAGCCAATGCCTAACACCTGGGAATAGCTTTTCCCTTCCACTTTTCTTTGTGCTTTTATCAGCATTTTTATCCTTTCATCCACACATGCAGTTATGCCTTTGACACTCTAAACAGTTACAAAATTTTAAATGCACATCAGCTCTTAAAAGGTAAAAATACTGCTAAAAAATAATTAAACTCTTCAACTCTCTTGGGTTTGGACTGCTGGACTCATAACCTAATTGCAGTTGAAACATGAGGTGAGATGATAGCTGGCTGTGCAAAGTTTTATATTCATGTGTTCACATTAGTTGCTGTTCACAACAGTCTTTTGCAGATTCACCTCCTCTGCTCCTCAAAAGAATCAAATGGAAAACTCAAAGTCAGATTTTGAGGAAACTGTTCTGCTCCATCTCTCCACAGTCAGTGGGAGTTACAGGACTGTCACATACTCAAGTATTTCATTAAGACTCTTTTAAGCCATGTTGGTTTGGGGGTTTTATGACATTTTTTGCACATTTTTCAACAAAATATAAATTGTGTGACAAACAGGACAACAGGCTCTTCCACATATGAAAGAAATATGAAAGTGGCTGTAAATGCTAATGAGCTAGAGATTTAGCCAGCTTTTACAGATAAACACTGACAGCCCTCAACTGTTCTGATAACAGAAACTCTTTGTAACTTGGCTTTCATTTTCACTCCAAATGAAGATAATTTTACATCATCTCCCTCTCCTCTGATCCACAGTGTTTCTCTCAGATCAAGAATTAATCATTTCACAGGTTTCTGCTCTGCCAGCTGCTGAAGAGCAGTGAGGATGCAAAGTCTTGCCAGGCATTTCAGCACAGGGTTTGTACTGTGGACTGCACTGACTCAGCCCACCATTACCACCACCCTTTAGCAAGTGCTCCAATACATTATTGTTGGTAATGCATGAGCAGCTTGAAATATCTGTACTGAAAGAGCAGCAATGCAGGGTGCCATATTAGCAATTATATTATCTATGGCTCAAATCTGTCTTGTCTTTTAAATATTAGACATATTATGCATACTGAAAATTCAGTCAATGGGTTGCAAATGTGCCCCAAGAGCAGGCTGAAGAACTGTTTTACTTCTGTAATTAGAACTGCTGTTTTGTTTATGTGTTTACAACAGTGTTTTTTTAAAGAAAAGAAAGGCAGCATTGTGGACAATTGTTATATATATCTATATATATGTTCTTTCCTAGATGTATATGAAGACATGGGAACAGGAAATCAAAGCATCTGCAAGTACTTCTTTTTCTTTATAACATACTGAAAGGAAATTCCAACAACTCCAAGAATGGCAAAGGCTTATGCCACCTTTGCTTGAAATAGCAATTTTTCTTCAGACTGACAGTCCCTTTCCTTGGGGTGCTCCAAACTGCCCATTTCTTAATTTTTTCTTTTTTAAAGTAATAATTCCCTGAAAAATACATGTATTTTTCATTAATTTCTTTTCCTTATTGGTGAACAGAAAAGACAAAGAGACAGCTTTAAAAATGCAGTATAAAACCTATATATTTTAGTAAAATATTCAGTAGAGGCACAAGAAGAAATCAGGCCCAAGATGCCACCCTCACTTGTTTTATTAAAAAATGGCAAAAATCGCATATGAGAGTTTTTCATTGGTGTTGACTTTTACAAGAATACTGCCATGAGAAGTAATAAATGCAATATGACAGATTGCAAAATACATTTGGGGTTTAAAATAAAGTCTTTAAACTCATTTAATGTGACACTGTATTTTAATTTACAAACATAGAAGCTGATCTGTCAGGCAGTTAGAATTTAAAAATGTACATATGTATATTATTCAAAATAATGTGTTCTCATTAAATTCTGTTTCCTTTGCATTTTAACTGTTTTTCTATTTTCTGCTGAAGAGCATGTTTCTCATTGACTAGGAGAGCAAGTAATATTCAAGTTATTTCTTAAAGCTGCAGAATGTTCAGGCTATTTGCGTATTAAAATTGTAATTCTCCAGTGCAAATGAAATCTATCTTACTCTGTTTAAACAGTGTGCTACAAGTACCTTCACAAATAGAGGAATACTCTTCCAGAAGCTTCTGTTAGCAGGCATCTGAATCCTGCAGAAAAATTCACTATTATTTCCTCAGAGTCAGCTGTTAGATGGTGTCAGTTGGCTGCAGCCAGGGAAAAGGGGAATTATGAACTGAACTAATCTGCAGGAAAAAAAAAGGATACTTCAGTAACAGCTAATTGTGTGGGAAATCATTAGTGTGAGTAATGAGAAAGCATACAGTGTCTCCATCCTTTAAGACAGGCTGAATGGGATTATTTAAAGCACTCTTGTTTATGAAAAATTATTTCCACTCATTTAAAGTACCTCCCTAATATGCATTTAGTAAACATTCTTCCTGTCTCCATCTTTAAAACACAAGGAAAAATAACACAGTTTTCAGTGAATATTCTGGTCCTGTGATGCTGAAAAAAAGGGAAAAGGACATCTTCACCATTGCATGTGAGGAAAATAGGATTTGGCATTTCACAGAGGCAGCTGATGCAGCCCAAATATGCAAGAAATACTGACGTAATCTAAAAGAATGTAGTCACCAGATTTGCTCCCTAAGAAATAACCCTCTGACATGAAGGCATCAGGCAGAGGCTGTAAGTATAAACATTTGGGGAAAATTCTAAAGTACTGAAGTTGTCCCGAAGGACTTACTTAGGAACTCAGGAGGTTCCCCACAAATTCCCCCATCGTTCATTTAAAGCTGACTTCATCTGTGTGTTTCACATTGAGACAGCCCTTTGGGATATGCGAAGTCTGATTTTCCGCTTCTTTTTCTTTTCTTGATGGAGTGCTCTGAAATGAGCATACAGATTCCTTGAGACCATTCCATCCAGACCATCTCAGACGTATAATGTCACTGCAGGGCCACAGGGCAGCAAGTGCAAATGGATTAAAAAAAAAAATACTGTTTCTGCATCTCTAGAGCCTTTGTATTTAAAACTGACAGTAGTATACATTTTTCTAAGTTTTTCTGATGAAAATAAAAAGAATTGGTTCAATATCAGTTCTGTTCTGCATGCTTTTAAGCTCACTTAGGCCCATGCCTAAGTGCATTTTAAGTTTCCCCAAACATTTTGTTTCAGAATCTGTGTATGTGCCTTGATAATGGATCAGCAAGCTGGTTTGGATTAAGCCATTTGTCAATAATGTGAGATGACCTCAGCAATCCAAGACAAAAGTCCACCCTAACAGTCTATCAAACTTCTGCAAAATACCTGTAATATTAATAAAATAATTTGTTTATGCATCACATAATGCCTAGTAGTTCTGTGGGTCCATTTATGGCTATGCATTTTCACTGGAAAGGTCACATAGCATTAGGTTGGTAGATAAGAAACAAAAATCTGCCTGTTGAAAGTAAATTGTTCCCCGGGGGTTCTGTATGCAGGTCATGGTTGCCACATTCTCACTCTCCACTTCCACATTCTCACTCTTCACTTACAACCAATATTTACAGAGAAAAACTCAACTGGTAGGGAAATTTATTTTATTATAGAAAGAAGAAATATTCATTGTCTGGGTTAAATAATTCTACTAGCCATGGCAGCAGAACCAACTCTGCAAATAGAATTATGTTATTGCAAGGGACAGAAAGCAAACACGGGCAAGTTGCCTTCTGCTGATATTATATTGTTCTCATCTATTTTTCTTTCACTGCATCTTGTGTATTACTAGCTGTTAGCCAAACATCTATTATTGGTGGTTTAAACTCCTATTCAAACTGTGCTCATTCTTTACTGTTCTTCCAAAATCTGCACAGTGCATTGAGCCACTTTTCATGGAGAAATACTTTCGGTGGAGGTATAAAAACAATAAACTATGGGGAAAAAACAAATTCTGAAATGTCATGTAATTTTAATGGATGAAAAAGGCAGCCTTTTCATATTGTATTCTTGCTCTTTTCTCCCTGGAACTACAACATTCAAAAGAGATTGATAAGTTTTTATTTATTAATGTAAAATCTTTTCCAAATTTTACCAAACCAGTGGAAGGTTTATCCAGTGAACTAGATGATGTATACATTGGGCTGTTCAAATATGAGTTGGGTATAATGAGAAAGCAGTATGTTCAAAGCTTGAAATGGGGTGGGGGGAGATTTTAAAAAAGTCTTGCCATGTTTTTCCCCCAGTCCTTTTGGTGGAGGCTTTTGCCATTTCATTTACCCACTGATAAGGGTCAAGAATGGCTTTGATGAAGTGATGCTGTGGACTTGAGATCAAAGGCGGGGAACATAAGCCATAACTCTGGAAGTTTGAAGTGTAGGAACAGCAACAGCAGTCAGACCATCTCCAGGCACTTGTACCAAGTCACAAGGTGGTGTGTAGTACTTGATCTTTTCTTACTACATAGCTTAAAGGCAATTCATAAGAATACTGAAGAATATGGGCTGTCACCACTGCTCATATGGGAATGCTCCATCTTACACTTTGTTATGGCTTTGAGATATTAACCCCTTCTTACAGGGCAACAGACTATATTCCACAGTCCTATTAAGACTGCAGGAAGATCAAGACCAACAGAGTCCTGGGCAGCATTAGGAGAAGCATTGCCAGCAGGGTGAGGGAGGTGACCCTTCCCTTCTACTCAGCACTGGTGAAACACATCTGGAGTGCTGGGTCCAGGGCTGGGCTCCCCAGTACAAGACATGGACACACCAGATCAAATCCAGAGAAGACCCACAACAGTGATCATCTACCATACAATGGTGAGTTGAGAAAGCTGAGACTGTTCAACCTGAAGAAGAGGTGCCTCAGGGGGATCTTATCAATGTTTATAATATAAGAAAAATCTTTTATAGTGTCAAGGTGGTCACACTCTGGAAGTGGCTGGCTGCCCAGAGAAGCTGTAGAGTCTCTGTCCTTGAAGATATTGCAAACCCACTGGATGCAGTCCCAGGCAACCTGCTGTAGTTTAACTAAAATTTGCACTGGCCCATGCCATCTAAGGAGAGAATCTGGGATGCAAAGCATAGAATTACAAGAGTAATTATTTTATTCATGCATATGAGGTATCCCATTCAAAGCAATGCAAGTGTTCAGGTGCAACAGGATTTTACTAATTGCTGCTTAACAAGCACACACTACCATTTACTCACCATAGTAAAACTTCGCAAAGCAGCTATATTTATATGATTCATCATCCACCAGCTTCTTTATTGATCAGATGGCCCTGGAGTTGGTCTTGCTATAGTTACTTATCTATGGAGACAGACAGTGGGAAGGTTTCAAATATATGTTAAAAGGGCTAGGGCTAGGATACTGGCATTATCTTAGTTGTCCAGGGGTATCTTTTATCCTTCATGGACAGTTTTTAAGTTTCCAAGAAGTAAAGTACTTATCTCAGGGACTAGGTTGTCCTCATCGTTACCATGAGCTGGGGCCCTTTGTTTTGCTTGCTTAAGCATGGCTATTCAGTATACAATGTAAACTATACATAGGTTTGAAAGTTGATACAATTTTATACTGTAAAGATTAATTGGTATAATAGCTAGGGAATGAGATTTTCCTGAGACCCTGCTTTGAGCAGGAGTTGGACTAGATGATCTCCAGAGGGCTTTCCAGTCTTAGTCATGCTGTGATTCTATGAGCTCGGGGAGGGAGATGATTAGTATGTAAGTCTCAGCAAAAATGACACTAGCAGTTATAACACAATGAGTTCATGTTAATGTAAAGGGAATGTATGCCTCCAGATAACACTCCCTTAAACATGCATGGCCAGCTAAGCAAGATATAAAACACAGTACTGTGCACAGTACTGTGCATGTACCTCCATGCTTTAGCCGTAGAAAGCTGAGACTTGAAAAGGAGAGACCTTATTGTTTTATGATCTCAGGTTAAAACAATTTTTTAAGCAGCTTCTTTTTTATTTCTTCTTTTGCCTTACTCAAATAAAATAGAATTACATATTTTCTATGGACTTTCTTTAGTGTTAGCATAATTCCTTTGGAAATCTGTCACCAGTATGGTGCTATAATGTATCTGTATCATACATCTTTCTGGAAGCTAGAGGGCAATGGCTTCCCACAGGACATGGCAGGAGCTTCTGGAGAACTATGCATGGGACAGTGAGAAAGAGAAAGGGAAAGGAGCTTATATTAGTAAACACTAACTTCCTGGTAGACACATGAATTGATCGTGTCTCATGTGAGTTGTACATTTGAAGGAGGACTATTTCCTCAATCCTGTGTCCTGGAAGAGGCTTCCTGATTTATAGAAGCTACTTTCTACGTAGCTAAATGGTTGTAT